GCCAAAACGTGTTTAGTCGTACGTGGCACGTAGTGGAGCAATGCTGTAGCTATCTGATGGTTGTAGCTTGTGGCGCGAATGGGTCGGCTTGACCGGGGAAAGGCCTCGTTTTAGCAGAATACCAGCATAGCAACTCAATGGTGCCGTGTTTCGTATGCTGAGTGTAGAGAACCGGAGACCCTTTTTAATAGATACAAGGCGTTCTTCCATCTTAGTCCTCAGGGGTGACAACGTATCTGTGCTTTAATGCTTAATGGAGGATAGATGTAGATGTCTATGGGCCACAGAATGCACTTACCATCAGGTGGGCTGTGTACCCTCTGGTCACCATACTCCTATAAAAACGTGTTGAGGTTGTGTTTATCTAACTTAACAAAATAGTACAATTATTCAAATTTCTAATTGTTATTTGCCCACCAAATATTTATATATAATATACTTATTAGCAGTTAATCAAAGTGTGAAAAAATGAAGGAAAACATCTTGAGGATAACTGCATTAGCAATAAATTAAATATATATATATATATGGTTGTGACCTGGAATTTTCGGACACTTCCTTGCCCTAAAACCTCAGGTCAGGTCTATGCCAAGGAGTGAGATGTAAAAAACCTGTTAATATAATTCAATTTAACAAATAATAAGCATTTGCTATATTAGCAGTTGAATTTATAATTCATATTAAATTTTAAAAGCAGTCATTCTCAATACGGTCGCGTTAGCAATGAATGAATTTGCAAACACGTTTCGAATCAGCTGATATGGCCTCCGGTATGCATACATTACCTTAAACATTCTTATTTCTATTCTTACCTCATCGAGTCTCGGAGGCTGGGATTATTATTAGGTTTTTTTAAAACCGGTAATCGTTCTGCAGTACTAAACTCGTTTCTTTTAAGCTCGACCGATTTTGAACCGTACTTAGATTGATACAAAGTTTTAATTGGAAGCGACAAATAAAGCGTCGTGGTTCTGGGAATGTTTCAATACGTCTACAAATTGAAGAATGATTGGCGCCATTTTTTTCTTAATCTCATACTGAAGATGTGTTTTGCAGACGATATTGACCTTTAGGGAATGCTTGCTTCAAGCTTTTTGATATAATATAATATAGCTTCACACCGTATAGCATGAAATCTATCTGAAGGTACCTACGCTGAGTCCTAAAAGCAGAGTCGGACTTCATTAGCCCAAAAAAAGTATAGGTTTAGATGGAAATTGTAAATATCAGTGATGGGACCTCGGCTATTTGCCTACACTATCATAAATCCAATATCACATTAGTCGTCTTTTACGACATGGTAGGCATATGCCTGATATATAGCATTGTAGGAACATTTTAGAGCCATAAAAGTAAAAAAGTAAAGTTACAGCCTATATACGTCCCACTGCTGGGCACAGGCCTCCACTCATTTCTGAGAGGGTTTAGGGCAAGGAAGTGTCCGCCGCGCTGCCCAAATGCGTGTTGACGAACTTCACATGTCTTCGAAATATTTTTTTTCTTATTCCTCAGACATGCAGGTTTCCTCACGATGTTTTCCTTCACCGCCGAGCACGTGGTAAATCAGCACTTAAAATTGCAATTAACAATTTCATTGGTGCCGGCGGGGATCGAACCCGGGTTACTCGCGTTCTGTTATGTTTACAGCGAGCGTTAACCACTGAGCTACCACGGCTCTTTAGAGCCATGGTGTAGCTATATTAATTGTATTAGTATAGTTTTAGCACGGATGGGTCGGCTCGACCGGTGAAGGACCACGCTCTCACAGAGTACCTACAAGCGTAAAATAGTAACTCAACGCTGCTGTGTTTCTTCGTATGGTGAGTTTAGAGAACCGGAGACCCATTTTACTAGAAACGAGGCATTCCATTTTAGCTCTTACGGTTGACAACGCATCTGCATTTTGATTCGTAATCGAGAATAGAAGTATGTAGATGTCTGTGGGCCGCAGCAACCACTTGGACTGTGTGCTTGTTTGTCACCCTTATCTTATAAAAAAGTCGTAAATAATTAACTCCTCCCTCTTCCTTCCACCATCGGAATACGAGACCCTCAGCTTCTGCGTTATGTACTTAGGTAGGTACCACGCATTCAAACCAAACGCCTTGCTTTGTTTGTAATGTGTACAGCAAAGAAATGGGTAGTTGCCAGTATGTCCATCCATCGCAATCCATCCAATTATAATTTGAGCGTCTTCAAGGCAAGAGTGGCTTTAACTAAGTCAGTGCGCCTCACCATTCATGGCTGCATCATCACTTACCATCAGCTGGTGCTGGCTATAATCAAGCAGGCCTTGGAATACTTAAAAAGAGAAGTGAAATTTTAAGACACCGTAAATAAAATAATTAAAAATTTTCAAAGAGCGGTGGGGTATTTTATTAAATATATTTATAATTTTTTTAGTTCTTTCGTAAGATAATTTGCAGTGTTTATAATTACTTTCCTAAGTTATGCGAAATTTTATTTTTTTATTTTTTATATACCTATATAGTTTTATTCTGCATATCCCGCTCGTATTTCTTTTATTTTATTGTGGTCTTACACTTTCTAGCATTCTTTAAATGTTTTCCTTGTGTCGAAAAATAAACCATAACTCCTTTATTATATGTATTTTATATAACGTCTTCTCTTTTGTTTTGTATTATTTTTCTTTAAAAGAAACCAATTAAAACATACAAAATGGCGAAGTAGTTTTGTACAAATAAGTTCTTGATGGTGGTCCTTATAAACTCTGTGCTAATACGTTCGAGATTATCATAAGTGCGGGTTGAGTATATTTTTTTGTACAAATCGCACGTTTAACAATATGATTGTTTATTAAATTTTCAACGAATTTAATGATACTAAGATGTGATAGAAGGAAACAAAAACAGGAGATGGCCAGCAGTGTTTTCCTGATAACAATTTAAAATATAAAAAACTAGCGCTCCGCCCTGGCTTCGCACGGGTGATTTCTGGATCTGGAACAGCGCCACCTACCGGGTACAAATGTGAATCTAAACAATCTATCGAAACGTTTTTGAGTTTTAGAGAAACTAACTGACAGCAATGGATTTTGATATAATAGAAATTTGCGACTGCCAGTCCGCTTGCCAAGCTTAGCAACTATGGCGAATATAAGAGACCCCCCTATGAGAATATGGGAGTGATTAAAAATCAGTCACTGACACTGAACTAAGATTAAAAGTTTAGTTTCCAGAATATACATATATACATACATAAACACTCGCGCTTGTCATCCAGAGGGGTAGGCAGTAACTACAAACTTCCATTTGGCACGATCCTTCATTCGCCTCCTCCACTTTCATATACCCTAATTTGGCCCCTCACTGTTCTCTTCACTAACTACATATACATGAAACACAACGGCACATTGCTGCTATTTCTGTCTGGAGTTTTGTGAAGCCTGATACCTTGGTGTAGCAGTTATAATACAGCTGCAGCGAAGCTCTCTTAGTGTAATTTATAATATTCGCAAATTCTCACGATTTTCCTTCACCGACGTACACTTGGTAAATCAGCACAAAAAATTGCAATATTAATATTACCAATCTTATTGATACCGAAGTTCCGATCTATGTATACGTCGAGTCCAATCATCCACCCAGTATAATCCACCTGATGGTAAGTGGATGCCATATACATGTACTTTTATTCTCAGTTAAAAATCAAAACGCAGGTGAGTTGTCACCCCCGATGACTAAGATAGAATGCCTCGTATCCAGTATAAAATGGTCTCCGGACCTCTACTGACTGATATTCTGTGAGAGCGTGGTCCTACCTCGGTGGAGCCGACCCATTCGTGCTACAACCATAATATAGCTGTAGCGTGGCTCTACGGTTATCACGATAATGTAAGGAAATCGCATATTATGACAATTTTCTTCAGCATCATCAAACATATTTCTTAACATACTATTCCAAAGTTGAACTAATGGTATTATCCACAGACATTATGTATTATTTACAGTAATGTTATCATTGATTTATATAACCCTAGATCAGTAATAACCGCGCCAAAGCGTTGCCACTGCACATATGGCCACAGCCATATGCCTAGCTAACGTGAGTTCATTGTTCAATGTGACGCCGACAGAGTTGAGCCGCGACAAAAATGGGTAAATGTGTAGTGAAAGAATGCTATTCAAGGTCACAAAAACGTAATAAATCAAGCGGCATCACTTTCAACACATAATTTTTAGTTCCTGTTTTCATATAAACGTAAAAAACCTCAAATAATTAAATAAAATTATCGAATAATGCCATTTAGGTTCAATGTTGCCACTTTTCCGCATTTGTGATTATCCTACATTAATGGGAGACTATATAATTAATGGAGTAAGTTAATTTGTTACCTCTGATTTTAAATATTTTGGAAATTATAATAAAAACTACGTTTTAACTTTCATACAAAATAATTAATTATTCTTATTTTAGTTTATTCATGAATTATCTATAAAATATATTTTATTACCTATTTTATATTAATAATTTTATATTATTTATAATTTCATATAAATTTTATATTAATTACATTTTATTAGATACCTATTTTATATTGTTTGATTTATTAGAACCATAAAAATACGTTTTATTTCATCATTATGTTTACTTCTATTCATCTGATAAGCTTTGTATCCCTTTTTTTCTAAGGGGACGTAATAAAGATTTTAAAATAAAATATACTTTTTTTAATATAAAAACAATTAACTCCAGCTTAAAAAAAACTCATATTTATTTTGTATTTTAGGTAAAATTTCATATAGTAAGCCACACCAACCCGCCATTGCATGTTTGTGTGTCTATCTTTATCTAATCTTACGACGACGATATAGTTTTCACAACTTGTGTAAGTGAGATAGATATATGTTTACATAAAATTGTTATTAGTTTCAAAGCTACGTCATCGCGTTTGGATAGTGGTTACACTTTTTTCGACGCGCGGTAATGTGGTTTGCTCCTCTAGTGTTGTATAACTCAATGAATGTTATTATCCACAGACGTAGCGGCTATGATTCGGACACAAGCGAGTACTCTGAGGACTCGACGGCGTACGACGATGCGCCGGCTGCAACCAAAAGTTTTGGGCCGCGGAAGAATATCAACAGAGGGCGCTGGACGAAGGAGGAGGTAAACTGCCGTGTATTTTACACACTATAGGGTAAAGAGATATTTTTTATAGCATTGGGTGACAAACGAGCACACAGTCCATCTGACGGTAAGTGGATGGTGACCCACAGACATCTACATTTATCCTCAATTAAAAATCAAAATGCAAATGCTTTGTCACTTCTGAGGACTAAGATGGAATGCCTCGATTCCAGTTAAAAGGGTCTCCGGTTCTCTACACTCACCATACGAAACACAGCAGCGTTACGCCGCTATTTGACGCTGGTATTCTGTGAGAGCGTGGTCTTGCCCCGGTTGAACCGACCCATTCGTACTACGACTATAATATAGCTGCATCACGTAAATAAGAGTATAAAAGAGGTATTCATTTGTCACAACATTTGCTCAGTCAGTCTCACTTATGCTTTTCAATATCTAATAAACGTTAGGGTTTCCTTAACTGTTGGACATTTACAACAAGAATTTATAAACAATCTTTCTTATATCTATGGTACTGGGAGTTTGACTGCGCTTTGTTTTTGGATGTACGCGTTTTAGACATGTGTAAATCATTCATTTCTAGCGACCGAATCATTCTAGTACATTTCGTCACGCGTACTGGTACATTCGGATTGATCATTCAAATGGATCATTTCAGGCTCCAGTACTTTGTGAGATCCATTGGGAACCGAAAATTTTTACATTTATTTGCTACAAAATTAAACATTTACCTATCTTATACTTATATATGATGGTTGAAAATTATCATTAAATAAATCATTTATCCTGAAATCTTTTGAAGTGTTAATTTTAGTTAACTCTACGAAATAATATTTTTAACCCATAGATTTAACAAATTATAAATTTAGTAAAATGTAAAATAATTTTTAATTAGGTAACAATATTGTAATACAAAAACTCTTAAATGATAAATACTCCTGATACTCTGCAGTCTGCATTGTTAATACGATTCCCCTATTTATTCAGATCATTCGGGATTCGTCGGTTTGTGGCTCTTTCACAATTCAAACAAATCGCGGGTAAAAAAGGTACCGTCAGTTGTTTGTGACTGGTTGTACTGGTTCATTCAAAAACAAATGAATGATCCATCAATACTTTTAAGTGTACCAGCTCAAACGAAAGAATCATGCATGATTGACACATGTCTAACGCGTTTATTAGTAAGCGTCTATGAGATATTCTTACATTACCCTCTGCCTTTTTAATATTTTGTGCAAGATTTTATATTCATATATATACTGAACGTTACTAAATTCAATTAAACAATGTTTTCGGCAAAATTTATGTGTTACTCATTATAAAATGAGAATTTATAAGCTATTTATGTTTTCACAATTTAGTTGCAAAAGGTTTTTGACGAATGTTGCCAACAAAGATGTATTAAAAAAGAGTTGCAATGGTTTTTGTTTTATAGCGAGTTTATAACTATACAACGATTATTTTTAAGAAGCGTCTGTAACTTTTATCCATAGCTTAAACACTCGTAAAACAGATGTTTTAAATATTTTTATTAGTAATATTGTTAAGCTTTGCGGCATTTCGACTTAATATAATAAAAAAGCAAATTCTTGAATTGTTAATTTTATTGCACTACCTACCAAGCCATACCTATTATATATTTTTGGACAACCTATAGTAAATGAAGTTGGTGTTTCTTTTCACGTCATATTTGTTAATCACCTACCCCCTCGTCTGTCCAAACGCCATATTCTGGCGTCTCAAATAATATGCGCATCTGTCAAACGCCATAATATGGCGTCGAGTGATAGCAAACTATTCGTAACATATATATGATATATATAACATACATATATATAACATATATATCTGTTATGCATAATCTGATAGCTTATTTAATAACTTTTCCATTGATATATGATTTTAATATACTTACTTAGTATATATATTATATACTTAGTATACTTGTTATATACTTAACACTTCGGAAAGTGCTCTACAGGTGCGCCATATTGGCCAAAATGACCCCGACATTCGAGTGGATAATATAGCATTTTGCCATTTTCCATGCCATTTTTATTTACCCCAATAAGTTAAATAAATAATTTAAGAAAGAATCATGCCCACTTTCCATACGTTAAGTGACCTGTCACTTGAATCCTTTAACAGGTCGCGTCTACCTACAACTACTGTTCTATAAAAAACAATTATTGTTTATAATAACGTAATAACTTATCATCTTTTCATTTATAGGCCAGGAAAAAATGCTATTAAGTAAATAAGTTTTTGAGGTTATAACAGCTGTCAGATAAGGTCTGTACACTTACTTTTCTTTCCACATCATAGTACAAAACCATAAAAAATCGTATCTAATCACAAATTAATAAGTTATAAAAAAAGCAATTGGTTATTTTGAACATTAATAAACAACATGACGAATAAACAAGTTTTTCGTAGTCTGAAACGGAACGTGTAAAACAAGTTTTTATTCTATTTTGGCATGGCTTCTGGGCATTGATTTATATAACACTAGATCAGTAATAACCGCGCCAAAGCGTTGCCACTGCACATATGGCCACAGCCATATACCTAGCTAACGTGAGTTCATTGTTCAATGTGACGCCGACAGAGTTGAGCCGGGACAAAAATGGGTAAATGCGTAGTGAAAAAATGCTATTCAAGGTCAAAAAAACGTAATAAATCAAGCGGAATCACTTTCAACACATAATTTTTAGTTCTTATTTCCATATAAACGTAAAAAACCTCAAATAATTGAATAAAATTATCGAATATTGCCATTTAGGTTCAATGTTGCCACTTTTCCGCATTTGTGATTATCCTACATTAATGGGAAACTATATAATTAATGGAGTAAGTTAATTTGATACTTCTGATTTTAAATATTTTGGAAATTATAATAAAAACTACGTTTTAACTTTCATACAAAATAATTAATTATTCTTATTTTAGTTTATTCATGAATTATATATTAATTATATTTTATTACATATTTTTTATTAATAATTTTATATTATTTATAATTTCATATAAATTTTATTAATATAAATTCATATAAATTTTATATTAATTATATTTTACTACCTATTTTATATTGTTTGATTTATTAGAACCATAAAAATACGTTTTATTTCATCATTATGTTTACTTCTATTCATCTGATAAGCTTTGTATCTTTTTTTCTAAGGTGACGTAATAAAGATTTTAAAATAAAATATACCTTTTTAATATAAAAACAATTAACTGCAGCTTAAAAAATGTATTTTAGGTAAAATTTCATATAGTAAGCCACACCAACCCGCCATTGCATGTTTGTGTGTCTATCTTTATCTAATCTTAGCTACGATATTGTTTTCGCAACTTGTGTAAGTGAGATAGATATATGTTTATTTAAAATTGTTATTAGTTTCAAAGCTACGTCTTCGCGTTTGGATAGTGGTTACACTTTTTTCGACGCGCGGTAATGTGATTTGCTCCTCTAGTGTTGTATAACTCAATGCTTCTGGGCCTTTGAGCCATTGTAAAACACGTTCCGTCTCAAAGAATGATAAAAATAGTAACATTACTTTTTTCCTGTCTTTATTTGAAAATTCAATTATGCGATACGAAATAAGTAAAAAATATGTAATTTTATAAGATATTTTACATCACTAGACGGGTTAGAAAATTTTCAGGTCAAGACTGGACATGCTTCTTTTAAAATTAATGAAAAATGGATATGTAAGAAAGATCTAAATGCTCGTGATGGATGGTGGTAAACTCAGCGCTTACACCGAAATACCCAGAGCGGTGACGGGATGAAGAGCAGTGTCATCAAGTCCCGGCAAGGTTTCTATGATCGTCATCGGTACGAGACGGTTGGCAATACAATCGTCAATTCACCTGAGGCGTATTGAAATCCCCATGAGAGACCCATGCCCAGAAGTGGCTTTTTATAGGCTAATAAAGAAGAGAATCCTGAAATAAAGAATCATGTAGATATATTTAGCAATAGCATTTTTAATTTTAAGAAATCAATACTCGAATGTTTTCATCTAAAAAGTTAAACCTCTACTTTTTTGTAATAGTATTATAATGAATGTAAATTTATAATAATTAATAACTTTATCTTCATATTTGATTATAAATTGTTTATAAATGGGTAAAAGTAGCTCGTTCACGATACACACCGTGGTAACTGGTAGCCTATAATTAAGACAACATTTAGTTTTTAAACCTGGAACAGAATGTAATAATCATGTTCAATTTTGACCTGAAAATTTACTAACGCGTCTTGTGATGTAAAATATCTTATATAATTGCCTTTATTTTTCGCATTTCGTATCGCATAATTGAATTTTGCAATAAAGCCAGGAAAAAAAGTAATATTACTATGTTTATCATTCTCAATAGACTTTTGGAGACGGAACGCGTTTAACAATGACTTAGAAGCGAAGAAGCCATGACAATATATATATTTAAAAAAATGTTTTACACTTTTCCTTCGACAGACTACGAAAATCTTATTTTTTATTAATTTATCATGTGGTTTATGAATGTACAAAATAACCAATTGTTTTTTGTTACTTATTATTTTATGATTAGATACGATTTTTTGTGGTTTTATACTATGGTGTGGAAGTTATTTTTCTTTCCACAGCATAGTATACCATAGTGTACAGTTGACAGGTTATAACCTGAAAAACTTATTTACTTTATAGCATTTTCCCTGGCCTCTAAATAAAAAGGTGATAACTTATTATGTTATTACAAACAATAATTGATTTTAGGCAACAGTAGTTGTGTAGTAGTTGTGACGCGACCTGTAAAACGAATCAAATGACAGGTCAATCAATGTATGGAGACACTTCTTTATTTCATCAATTCCTACAGCCCTTCACAAGTCCACTGTTGAACATAGACCTCTCCCAAGGACGTACCTACACCACCTGCATCTATCGACTTCCTACATATCTTACGCGGTCGTCACTGCATCTAGTGGGGTCCGCCCTCACCTTTGTTTTCCGGTACGAGGCTGCCACTCGACAAACTTTTTCCCCATCGGTGGTTATTTGAGCTATATTATGGCCAATCATAACCACTTTGTTTTACTAACTAACTAACTGTTCCGTTGGGCTATATCGATTACTCTTCTCTTCTGTTCTACGGCGGATATCCTCATTTCTAAGTTTATTACACAGAGAAACCCTGAGCATAGCACTCTTAATAGCTCGCTGAGCGATCTTGCAACTCGTCAACTCACGTCCATATGGCAACACGCATTAATTATAATAGATGGTTATCCTCAATAAAATAGAATATTAAAAAATATTGTTTAGTCAGTTTCTCACAGCAATAGACACATATTATTTTGCGCAATGTGTAAAAACTATGCAATTCAATAGCTGCTTCTAAATTTAATAGTATGCGGGTAACTTCGATTCCCTGACAGTCAGCTTGGAACGTTCATGTCAGCCTGCGAGTTTGCTAATTACTGTTATTTTATTTCAGGACAAAAGACTCAAAATGTACGTGAAAATGTACAGTGAGAATTGGGAGGCAATCGCGGCCCAATTCTCCGACCGATCCGACGTCCAATGCCAGCAGAGGTGGACGAAGGTCGTCAATCCCGAACTAGTCAAGGGGCCTTGGACCAAGGAGGTAATCATTAAAAAGTTTTCATGGACAATTTCATGTTTAGATATTAGTTATTTTAGCCACAATTTTAGATATAAATATATATTATATGGTAGGTTGGTTTTAATATTTTCGTAAGCTTGAAGAGTGTATCAAATGGTTTAAAATTTAATATCTCTATATAAAAATCAATTACTGCCCGGTCTGTCTAAAACTCGAAACTGGCTCAACCTACTCTGATGACATTTTTGTTCGAGTTTGAGTGGGTACCATGGTTTAGATTTACTATTGAACCCTGTAGGTGAAGCTGTTGTCGAGATCCTGAAATCACCCTTGCGAATCTGGGGCGGATCGCTACTTATATATATTATTATCATTTATATAATGTCTATAATACTTTGTCAAGTATATTGGTGCGTTTGCTGTTTCGATTCACACTATTTTTTGTCGAAACGATGGTTCTTAACATAACTTTGCTAGGATCCGATAAGTATATACAGGGTTACTGGTAACTCGACGTATTCCCGCCAAGGCGTGATAGTTGGGGTCATAACCTATCAAATGAACCATAAAATGCATTATGCAAATGTGGATCAATTTCGAGATATTTAGGTTTAATTATTTTTTTCTAAAATCCCAAAAGTCTGGTGTCAAAAATTTCTAAAAAAAAACTTACAGTATTATTTTCATTTTTTTTTTACTTAATGAAAACCTGGATACTTATTTATCAATACTACAGTGTGCAAAAAGTCTCATCATTTTCGAAGTAACGCTACTAAAAGTACAACTTTTTTCCAAACAGAAGATAAGTAATTAAAAATAAAAATGATTTTGTGAAAAATAATTGTATGTGACCAATTGTGCAAATCATGTTAAAAACATCCCTACTTATCTAGCTACCTAACGAAGTATCAATTTAGCTTGTAACTTAAATGGTACAGAAAAACTTGAAAAAAGGGTCAGGTAGACAAGTTCCGAGTAGAGCAATGTTTTGGGTAATCCCAAACATTCGTTTCTCGGAACCTTATCAACAGCTACGGGAATGCTCGTAAAAGATTGTGCGTTTGAACTTACGCTATTGTTTACATTTAGTGTGAAATTAGAAACAACGTGATGCTGGCAGGCCACGTGGCATATCCCGTATACCGCGAGCGGAAGATGAAGAAATTTTGAGTAAATTTCAAGAAGATCCAACCACTTCCACGAACATAGTTGCTCGTCGCTTAGGTGTATCGCAGTGGAAGGTCTGGTCTACTGTGCATACTGCGGGGCTTTATCCGTACCACTACACACCAGTGCATGTGATGGAAGAAGGAAATCCCGTTAGAAGATTGGATTTTTGTAAATTTATGTTGAACGCAGATGCAGAAGATCCAATGTTTTTTTAGAAAAATATTGTGGACTGATGAGTCGAAGTTCGATCAAGACGGTATTACAAATTACCATAATTTACATTTTTGGGCTCCAAAAGAGCAAAGATATCCTGGAAAAAAGTGACCTTCTAAATCACAAAGAAGATTTTCACTAAATGTTTGGATGGGAATTATTAACGACAATTTAATTGGGCCTTATTTTCTGCCAAACTATTTAAACGGCGAAAATTATGAAACATTTTTAAGGGAGGACTTATCCGGATTGTTACACGATGTTCCTCTCGCCACAAGGCAAAACATGTGGTATCAACATGATGGGTGTCCTGCGCACTATCGTGTAACTGTGCGACGATGGCTGGACGAAAATTATCGACGTCGGTGGATTGGCAGAGGAGGACCAATTCCATGGCCAGCAAGGAGTCCTGACATAACACCGATGGATCATTATGTCGGGGGGCACATAAAGAGCATCGTGTACTGCGACAATGTGCCAGTGGCGACCCTTGATCAACTGAGAGACCGCATTATGAACGCGACAAACGACATAAGACGAACATTAACCTCAATCGTTATTAAAAGCGAATTAAGAAAACGAATGCGTGTCTGTATACGGAATAGGGGCTCCCATATTGAGCAAAATTTGTAAATCGTGTTAAAATAAAAAAAGCTAATTTCAATCAAGTGCTTTGTTTCATTTCCTTAATTAATATTGGTTAAAAATAAAACACAAATTCCTTTGTCTGCTTGGAACTCGACTACCTGACCTCGTTCTTTAAATTTTTTTTCTGTTTCTACATAAGCAAACTACAAAGTTGATACTTCATTACGTAGCTAGATAAATAGGGATATTTTTAACATGATTTGCACAATTGATCACATACAATTATTTTTCACAAAATCATTTTTATTTTTAATTACTTATCTTCTGTTTGGAAAAAGTTGTACTTTTAGTAGCGTTACTTCGAAAATGATGAGACTTTTTGCACACTGTAGTATTGATAAATAAGTATCCAGGTTTTCATTAAGTAAAAAAAATAAAATGAAAATAATACAGCTGTAAGTTTTTTTTTAGAAATTTTTGACACCAGACTTTTGGGATTTTTGAAAAAAATAATTAAACCTAAATATCTCGAAATTGGTCCACATTTGCATAATGCATTTTATGGTTCATTTGATAGGTTATGACCCCAACTATCACGCCTTGGCGGGAATACGTCGAGTTACCAGTAACCCTGTATAAGGTAATTTACATTATAAAATTTCCGGAGTTAATTCGGAGTGAAACACCTTAATACTGGTTCAATAATATACAGTGGAATCTTTATAACTCGAATGTCAAGGGAAATGTAAAAAAATTCGAGTTAACGAGTTTTCGAATTAACAAGAACTTCGAAATACATATGATTTAACTGCTGAAATTTCGACTGTGCGATTTCTAAGTATATTTTTCGATTCGTAGAGTCGAATTTGAATAACAATTCAACTTAAGTTTTATAATATATTTTTTACATATTAAAACAAATTACATAATAAAAGAAATTACATATTAATGAAGTAAACTGTACACTAAAAAATCCGTTATCTTCTTTTGATTAAAACTATTTGCGGATTTTTTATCAATTATTTTTTCAAGTTCAGCCAAAGTCAAAATAAATACTACTAAAAGTAAGCGTTTCCCGTGCCCGCTTCGATCAACAATACCAACTAGATGTCGGGTCGGCGCAAGAAATCCATCTAAGTAAATAACAGCGCACATGAGACGTGAACTCTTGTTTCGTTTAGTTCACTTGAAACACAGCCAATGTAAACACTTTTCACAATGCCGCAATGTGTATTTAAAAGTTGCAAGAATAATGCCCGAAAAAGTAATTAAACGGCCGGAGTGTCTTATTTTCGGTAATTACATGTATAATATGTTATATTTTAAGCTCTAAACTAACAAATAATATCATATTTTAAACAAAATTACCGATCAAAATCACCCCTACAAATGTTTTGCCAATGTTGACCAATACACGCGCAAACATTTGTGAAACAGAACATGGACGCATGAAGTAGATTTGTATTGTAATAATTTTTAACAATTCGTTACCAAAACTTATATATATATATAATAATGGTAATTGCTACTTTTGTCTTTGTTTGGGTAATTCCAATAGATACTTAGATTTTTTTTAGCTTTCCTAGCTTTCTTCCCCGGTCGAGCCGACCCATTAGTGCTATAACTATACTACTAATATAATTGCAGCATGGCTCTACCACGTTTTAAAAGTATGCAATGAGCGATCTTTTCGATCGATTCGATCAATTGCTGACAGCAATTTCTTACAGACAACCAATAAATGGACAGGATTACATGAAGATGACAGGAGTAGGGCAAATTGGTGTGATAAAAAGGAATACACATATTTATATATATATATACTATACATAGATACATACATACTATACATATTATTTTAATGGCTAGTGTGGAAAGTATGTATACCAACAATCATAAATGCCCAAAACATAAAAATTAGTGATGCAACAGAACTGTTTCCGTTTCCGCAACTGCGGAAGTTCTGCATGGTTTTTAACATCCGTTTCTGCTTCCGTTTCCGCAAGTTTTATAACGGAAGTTTGAACGGAACTCAATGACGCAGCCACATAAGTAGAGGAGGGTCGGAGGAGGGGGGGATCATTTCAGCCAATCACAAGTGAGCTGGGCACGTGCTTTCGGCACTGGTACCAACGAGTTTCTTTATATACTTTTTAACTTTATTACACGGCGTGACATGAGTGTAGGTGCGTAAAATTTTCTGTTATAGTTTTTTTTAGTTAATTAGTAATTTGAGTCGTGTGTGTAATTTACGTGCAATCATGAAGACAAAAAAGAGTCCTGTTTGGAACTATTATGTTGAGATTGATGATTTAGCAGCCAGATGTAAATTATGAGACCAAAATACTCGCGAAAAGAACGCACAACTACCGCTTTAAAGAGCCATCTTAAAGCGATACACACCGAAGAGTTTTCAGTTTGAAAAGTTAGTTGAAACTGTAAAACTTTCATCGCGAACTAAAAAACAAACAGTCAGTCAAGGTTTTTAAATTGGTCAATTGCATACCTATTTATTTGTAAAATGTTATAGTTAAACCCTGTTTTTAGTTATATGTTTTCTCCAGTTAAAACTAGTTTTTAATAAATGCCTTTGTTACAACGAAGATTTATAAAATTAATTAGGCTGCATTATGTTAACGTAAAGTTTATATTAATTATTTTTTATGTGAAGTTTATATTATTTATTTTTTAATTGTAGTTTATATTTATTATTTTTAAAGACACTTTAATGAGTATTTTGGATTCAAAGTTCGTTTACGTCGTAATTTCGTGCTAGGGTTGTACTAAGTTACCTACTCGCTTAACGTAAATGCGGCTCTTTAAAGGGTCTGCCCATATTTCAGTATCAATTTAGCTTTGGTGGTATACGCATAAGTCCAGCTCCTATGAAGAACACTGGAACAGATTGTTACGTGTAAAAGCAGCCGAACTACTTTTCATAAAATATAACATGCCGCTACTTAATTTTGAATGTTAATTAAAGGTTTTATTAGTAATTTTTTTAATAAGTAGTACTTCCGTTTCCGCATCCGTTTCCGTTTCCGTTTCTG